TCTTCAACAAACGGCAAAACTTCAGATCTCCTTTACACAGCTCCACCACCGCATTATTTCACCTTCTGAACTCCTAAAGCTCCCCGGTAGCTTATTGCTATTTACTTACTCCACCCGTGTCACAGCTTCTCTCGCCTCTTCTGCTTCTTCTTCCACCGCCTTCCCACTCTCAACGTTCGGTGGTGGCGCGTTTGTCTCGACGGCGTAACAGCCCGGGTCTCGTGATGATGGAGCGGCTTTCCAGGAGCCGCCAGCGATCGCGCCCGGGCCGACGTGAACGACACACGGTGCCCTTGCCACTGCTGGTCTGCCCGCAAGTTCAGTGGTGGCATGCGTTGGATATATATCATGAATTGACCAATGTATACGAATTGCTTGTTTCATTTGTAAGCTGATCTTTCCTTTGAGGAAGACAAGTAGCCTCTCTCCCTCTCTCTCTCTTGTGAGGCAGTGGAGACCTTGCCAGTGTATTTGGACCTCTACAGCTGGCCATCGATTTATCCTTTTTCGGAGACAAATGTAGTTTACGTGTTGTGTGGCCTCGTGTTTAACTCGGGGTGCGGCGCAGCTGATCAGTATAACAAGCAGCTGGAGTAGAGGGTGTCTTTGGCACAGTAGGTCTATGTATTTTGAACTTCTTTCGCACTGTATATAACCAACCGTGCTATTAATTATGAGCCAATCTATGCAGGATTATCATCGTCACATAGCCCTGGAGCCAAGTCAGACTCCTGTTTGTGGTTCCAAGATCATTTCAATTTAAACACTTATATAACAAACAAAACGTTATTCACACACGGCAATTAATGCATTAATACACCTAACTAATTTGCTCTATAGTATACCCACGGCAAATGAATGCCATTTCCATGGCACAGTAATTTGAAAGCAACATTCTTTTGACACATTTTGGCAAGGGTGCTTTGTCTGTGTCCTATCATCTCCAGCGATAACATCTGGGCAGTGCAAGAATCTTTTGAAGCAGGGAGAGTTGCTATAATGTAAAACATATAAAAGGGGGAAAAAATGTGCAAGTTGAGCAATTCTTACCAAACCCATTTAAACCACAGTGGAGTAGCGGTCCATAAAAAATCATGTTAGCAATTATCTGTGGGATATTTTTTTATTTATTCGTTGAAGCGATTTGGAAACTTCTCTACTGCCAATAAATCCACTAGTGCTGGGAATTCACCTTGGTCCGTCAAAAATGACAGTGGTACACCCACCATTGGCCATGGGGAAATTATTTATGTTACAAATACAATGATATCACATTGATCTGGTCGGTTGTAAGGCTTTGAAATTGTGACTGGTATCACTGCGATCTAGCCTAACCCAGCATTGCAATGATATTGAATCAGTCTGCACATTCGTATAACAATGTTCAAGGTCCCACTAGCGCCCCAACAAATATTGTGTCTTGACAGTGACTTATACTTGGAATATATTTCGATTATCTATCCAGTGAATGATTTAGGAATTCTGTGTTGTGTCCATTTGTTACATTGGTCATCAGTTTCAAACATAACAACCCAGTGACACACACATGCACACAGTGTTAGTAAACATTTGTATCATGCACGGGTAGATGGACGCTATCTGCCCAAAACTGACCATGACACCTGCTCATACAAAACCACTCGTGTTGTGCTGCCATATAATTGCTATGGCAATATTTGGTTCCTACAGAAAATCCATACGAGAGCTTGTGGTCACAAAGCCGTTGTCACATTTTAATCACTGGAGGACACACTTCAGCAAAATATTCACAAGGTGACCTCCATCAATAGCTAACAGGCAAGGCCACTCCATTGAATGTAGCTACCCTTTTGTACTCTACAGATACGTATAAACGTAGAAAATATACCTTGGAAGATTGCTAAATAAATATATTCACCATAAATGTGAGGCATTTTTTTATATACTGCAGATATATTAGCAATATATACTGCCTTTGCTAACATGTGCGTAAATGTATTTATTCTCTGCAAGCACAGAGTGCTAGTTTAAGATTGACAACCACATGTTGCTTTGTTAGAGGAGAACGTGAGAACGTATGTATTGATGTTAAAGTCCCTGAAAATATAGGGAACGTCGCTGATTCATCCCATTAAATAATTAAATCATACACCAACATGATGTCCACTGCTGTACAATACAAAGGAGGAGTTCATGGTGTGTTACTCTGCATTTCCCTTCTGTGAATAATTAGGTATCTCGTTACACGATCAGCACTGACCCTAGACATTCAAACGCCGTTAAATTCTCTCTCCGTTAAATTATTCTTGCTAAAAACAGCAGATGGAAAATGTAGCTTAAACATTTAGAATACAATGTTTTTTTTACAAGTCAAATAAGTATATGGGCTTCTCCTGACAGACATGTACAACACACTTATATTTGCGCTCTAGCTATGATTCAATACTAATGAATAAAACGTGTATTGGCACATTGGGTACATTTACATGCAAGCAAACGTATATTTGCGCTCTAGCTATGATTCAATACTAATGAATAAAACGTGTATCGGCACATTGGGTACATTTACATGCAAGTCTTAAGTTATGCTTTCAAAATTAGTTTGAACTTCGAAAATTCTACTCGCTCGACATTATTTCAGAAACACGTCAAAGGGTGTTTTTTTCTCTCTCTCTCTAAATCTTTCATAATGAGTTAGGAACATCTCACAGGCATATAGTGGCGCGGCTTTAAGTCTATGCCACAATTGCGGGGAACGGGTATTAAAGGAAAAGCTCAGCCAAGCATTGGCGTGCCGCGCGTCTTCATGTGAAGGAATCCGTGGGATGACCTCATTTAAACATTTTATCATGGGACGTTTGAATTGAAATCCTCAACTTTCTAACACAATAACAACAAAGATAGCAGGTAAATGAAAAAAAAGGTAGGCTGTTTTAATTAACCCCACACACGAGGGATGGGCTTGCTGCATTGTGTTTTGTTGCACTTTAATGGTAACACGTCTGATTACAGCCGCAGGCATGCACGCTTGAATACGGTCCACCATTGGCACATTTGTAGAGGCGGTGGCCTTCGAGGGATCTGCCCCTCCTTGTAAATGAGGCTCCATAACACAGCCATTTGACAGCATGGGTTGTGGGGGCCTGAATTTCTAATACACATGGGCTTCCAGTCCCCAGGACGAGTAACATTCATATATACATCATCAGAAGGGTCACTGGAAGCCCTGGGCAGCCCCTGACTAATTCAACAAAGAACAGCAGCCATCTCTACTCTGCTCCACGGACCACACTTAATGTCCTGGTTTTTTGGTAATGGCAAGGATGTTCAATATCGCTCAAAGACTGTTCACCGTGCAACTGCCACTGCGGCTCTAGTACAGTACAAACACTGCCACAGGATCCCCAAGCATGACCCTCCCCGTAAGGTGCTTGAATGTTTGGTAAGATATGGTTTTTTTTTTTTTGGAAATTGTATGAATTGAATGGGTGACGCAGGAACATTGAAGCAGGTGTGGAATGTTGAGGCGCGTGTAATGTTGCAAATGACAGCCGTGAGTGCCTGTAAAATGTATCCCGTGTAAATCCTCCTATACGATCTCTATCGATATGTTGTCATGAAGAATGGCCTGCACGAACATCAACATTCAAATATTGCCATTGCTTTAAATCGACTTGTCTAACAATACCATTCTGTTCACGTGACACACCTTACTAGTTGGCTGTGTCGGGTTGTGGCGGGTTTAAAGACACATTTCTATATTTACGCCATCTAACCCCAAACAAAACCTGTATTATGACCATGCTTAGTTGATTATTTTGCTTGTGATGCTATGATTTAATAAACGCTTTTGCAACAACTTGTTTTGTCACATTATACAAAACTAACGACAATATCACAATGTGTTTTCGTTCATTGAAAACAATAAAACGGAAAGTTAAACACCACACGGTCACACGCGCAAATAAAATCCCGTTTTATTTATTTTTTGCATCATAAAACGAAAACACTCGGAAAATAAAAGTTGTTTTCATGAAGCAACGCCATCCTGGAGCGTGACACATTTACTCGGTATTCATATTTAATTGCTTTGACATAATTGCGTGTAGTCTGCGGCACCGCGCGCATCAGAATGTCCCCAAATTCTTTAGTGTGCGACAGCCCGAGCAAAATATTCAAGATAAGTTCGTGCGTTTTCCTGTCCTCACATCATCATCATCAGTCTCATTGCCACCAGATGGTCGCGAACACAGGGGGGAGGCTGGAAAGCAAACAAGCTTCCCAGCTTGCTGGGTCAGGCCGGATTACTGCCGCTGATCCTCGTGAAAATATATCAACCCTAATGTGCCCACTTGGGAGGTGTGGGGGCAGGGAACTCAAAGGGTCTCCTGCACCTAAATGCGCTTTAAACTCCAGCGAACCGTGGAGTGGCTGCCAAGAGGAGCAGAATTACATACAGTGCTTGAGAAACGCTACCAGGGCTTGCTGCTTCGGCAAAAAAAACAGCACAACAAGCAAGACAAAACTGCCAATCTTTAATAACTAAAATTATAATCTTTATGGGCAAGGATAAATGGATTTTGAACGCACGCTGGGATGTAAAAGTTTAATCTTGTTATTGCAGAAAATGCATTAATATTATTGGTCCGATTCCCTTCTTTGGAGCGCGTGTGCAGATATTGCCGTTAGTCATTCCCCACTATTTGCCCATGATTAGCCAATACCCTTTATATACTCCCCTGCGTGCAGTTCCATGGTGCAGTAGCAGGAGTAATATTAGTAGCAGTTAGCGCCATACCTATCAACATTTGCGGCCACGTGCGCATCTCTCTGTGAGTCTAGGGAACTGAACACAGCCAGGAGGGCGCTCTGTTGTGGACTGCAGTCGCCAAGTCGTCGTCGTTGTTGTATATACTGGAGAACTAGACGCACGCGATTGGGAGGAGTGGGGGAGGCGTACATGGGGAGAGTTAGGGACGCGGGGGAGGGCGATGGAATTCGGCTTAATGGAGTAAATCCCAAATCCTCGGCGCGCGCGTGGCGTGCACGTGCGCGTCTGTGCGCAGGGTCACTCGCAGTTGTTGCCATAGCGGAACACGACCCCATCCAACGGGAGCTTCACATTGAACGCAGCAACACTCTTTGTGTAGTGGCTTGAACGCGTGCACGCGCGCGCGCGCGTATAATATATACGTTCGTTTCGAGAGACACCGGAGTCTTCTATTCGGAAATGACGGCCAGGAGGGGGAGGAGATCGGATTGATAGCTTCTTGCATTCTCACCAATTACACGGCACACGGTCCCTTCGGCTCCCCCCCTGCAACAGGTCCTGGCTGTTTCATCTTCGATCGTCGTTGTGTCCAAAGCATCGTGCGTGAGCGCCACACGCACGCACGCGCGCGCGCGCACGCGGGGGAGTGAAAGAGGCACTGGCGGTGGAAGTGAAGGAGGGAGGAGAAGGGAGGAGGTGTTGGCGGTAGTGGTGGTGGTGGTGGTTGTTCGAGCCAACCGGGTCCCACCACCTTCGTTGGTCGGGGGGGTGCCTCTCAATCTCAGCAGCCCAGACAGAGCAGGAATTGTAGGCAGAGTGAGACAGCGGCGAGAATGCAGAAGGGACTGCGCTTCAACGAGTCGCACTGCCTGCACTTGGCTCTGCGTGCCCGGCGGGACGCGTGCAAGCTGGGCTACGTGCGCAAACGCAGCGCCGAGACGAGCAGATGGCACCTCCGCTGGATGGCCCTGTACCAGAACCTACTCTTCTCGTTCGAGAGCGAGGCGAACGCGCGGCCCTCGGCTGTCCATCTGCTCGAGGGCTGCGCGTGCGAGCGGGTGTCCTCCCCCAAGCCCGGCGGCTCCCGTGACCTCCCGGAGAAGCAGGTGAGTGAGGGCGAACATCGTCCAACACGTGCATTGTATTATCGGTGTGTGTGTTTGTGTGTGTGTGTTGAACTTCGTTCCAACCGTACGTGGCCAACCGTGCTCATCGGAGGGCGGGGACAACACATAAAACACACGAAAAAAAATCAGTTCTGAAATTGTTTTTCAATCGGTATCATCATCATCATCACAATCGTCACCCAGTGTCGAATAATAAATAATAATGGTAATACAAATTGAAAGCACTAAAAATCCGTCCGGAAAAAAATTAAGGCTATAAAGTATTGAACGTGATGTTATTTTGTGTGAAATAGCGATATACGATGACGGTTTGGCAGTGAAGAAAGATGAACACCTGAGTTTGGTCGACTTGAAACCTGATGTACCCTTCTGACCTTGTTTCAGGCTCGGAGCACAGTCGAACGTCCCCTATACGATATGTACACCTGTAATGTTCTGTAAACAAAGATTTGAAGTACCAGTGCATGATCCGTGCCTGTAGGCAAGTTTTAATTGGGGCTCTGTCATCATCTCTAGAGTTACACAAAACACACAAACTACCAGGCCAGAGTTTGTTTTTTTTGACAAATACTGCTGGATAATGTTGGTCTGGAAAGCCGATATGTCTATGGACTAAAACATGATTGAATTCATATGTGGAGACACGGAATGGAGTTCTGCTTATATTTAATTGCATTACTCCAAAGTCCTTTTTTCGATATGCAGTTTGATTCGCTAGTTGGTCTCTGTGATTTAAGCAATTTTGCAATATACCCTATACACAGATACAACACGCATCACATTTGAATGTAAGTGATTTAAACTTCATACGATGTACAGGTACAATTTGCATTTTAACTGTTGGTAAATATTCAGTGGATTTGTTTTGAGTTGCGTGATGATGTTTCGACTTGTTTGCATGTGAGTTTGTCTCCCAGGCATCACCTGACAAAAATGGACCTTTGTTTCGCGTAAATGAGCTCTCACCTGATGTACATAAAGTTGATGTAAGTGGTGATGATGAACCGCGCTCAGGTGCAAAGGACCTGGGATTTGCAAGCACTTTTAAACAAGCAAGCAAATGATGTAGAGCTGAGAGAGAAATGCACAAGGGGGTTCTCTCTCTCTGGTGCCAAACTGAAGATTTACGGGAACAGGTTTTACCATTTTTAACTGGCACAAAAACTGACACCTTTATTCAAGGCATCATGTCTGCAACAATCACAACACAAGCAGTCAAAATGCAGACATGATGCCTTGAATAAAGGTGTCAGTTTTTGTGCCAGTTAAAAAGGGTAAAACCTGTTCCTGTGTCTTGTTGCTGGCAAAGGAGGTCTCATAATGAAGATTTACACTTTGGCAGTTCTACTAAAACGTATTTAACCTGCAATAATTGTGCATCTCTAATGCATAGTGCTTGAGACATATACAGTGAGGGAAAAAAGTATTTGATCCCCTGCTGATTTTGTACGTTTGCCCACTGACAAAGAAATGATCAGTCTATAATTTTAATGGTAGGTTTATTTGAACAGTGAGAGACAGAATAACAACAACAAAATCCAGAAAACACATGCCAAAAATGTTATAAATTGATTTGCATTTTAATGAGGGAAATAAGTATTTGACCCCTCTCCAAAACATGACTTAGTACTTGTTGGCAAAACCCTTGTTGGCAATCACAGAGGTCAGACGTTTCTTGTAGTTGGCCACCAGGTTTGCACACATCTCAGGAGGGATTTTGTCCCACTCCTCTTTGCAGATCTTCTCCAAGTCATTAAGCTTTCGAGGCTGACGTTTGGCAACTCGAACCTTCAGCTCCCTCCACAGATTTTCTATGGGATTAAGGTCTGGAGACTGGCTAGGCCACTCCATGACCTGAATGTGCTTCTTCTTGAGCCACTCCTTTGTTGCCTTGGCCGTGTGTTTTGGGTCATTGTCATGCTGGAATACCCATCCACGACCCATTTTCAATGCCCTGGCTGAGGGAAGGAGGTTCTCACCCAAGATTTGACGGTACATGGCCCCGTCCATCGTCCCTTTGATGCGGTGAAGTTGTCCTGTCCCCTTAGCAGAAAAACACCCCCAAAGCATAATGTTTCCACCTCCATGTTTGACGGTGGGGATGGTGTTCTTGGGGTCATAGGCAGCATTCCTCCTCCTCCAAACACGGCGAGTTGAGTTGATGCCAAAGAGCTCCATTTTGGTCTCATCTGACCACAACACTTTCATCCAGTTGTCCTCTGAATCATTCAGATGTTCATTGGCAAACTTCAGAGGGGCATGTATATGTGCTTTCTTGAGCAGGGGGACCTTGCGGGCGCTGCAGGATTTCAGTCCTTCACGGCGTAGTGTGTTACCAATAGTTTTCTTGGTGACTATGGTCCCAGCTGCCTTGAGATCATTGACAAGATTCTCCCGTGTAGTTCTGGGCTGATTCCTCACCGTTCTCATGATCATTGCAACTCCACGAGGTGAGATCTTGCATGGAGCCCCATGGCCGAGGGAGATTGACAGTTATTTTGTGTTTCTTCCATTTGCGAATAATCTCACCAACTGTTGTCACCTGCTCACCAAGCTGCTTGGCAATGGTCTTGTAGCCCATTCCAGCCTTGTGTAGGCCTACAATCTTGTCCCTGACATCCTTGGAGAGCTCTTTGGTCTTGGCCATGGTGGAGAGTTTGTGGACAGGTGTCTTTTATACAGGTAAAAAGCTGCGATTAGGAGCACTCCCTTTAAGAGTGTGCTCCTAATCTCGGCTCGTTACCTGTATAAAAGACACCTGGGAGCCAGAAATCTTTCAGATTGAGAGGGGGGTAAAATACGTATTTCCCTCATTAAAATGCAAAGCAATTTATAACATTTTTGACATGCGTTTTTCTGGATTTTTTTGTTGTTATTCTGTCTCTCACTGTTCAAATAAACCCACCATTAAAATTATAGACTTATCATTTATTTGTCAGTGGGCAAACGTACAAAATCAGCAGGGGATCAAATACTTTTTGCCCTCACTGTATATCTCAGAATACTAAAAAACATTATAAAGAGAACATGTGCACATTAAAGTAGATGTACTCAATATCACAAATGTATTTATTATGCTTAATTACCTCACATCAAGGCGAATTATTGAAATACTGTAAATAGTGATGTAAGTTGACCATGTTTTTAAAATAGTGCATTGTTGACTCAATATGCACTTCTTGTTGACTCTAGACCGATCCAGCTTGGAGAAAGTGTTAGTCCATGGGCAAACACTAGGTATTTCACTTGTCCGTACAATATTTCCCAACTATTAGTTGTGGTCTTTCAATAGATCTCTAGCACATAGGTGGTATTTGAAAGTGCTGAGCAATGAAAATAAATGATGGCCCTGCTGCCTCCCCATCCACATGGAGTTATTTTAAAGGTCTTCCTTCTGCTGGTTAGTGATGGTGATTTCGTATGGCTTTAAGAGTAACTTGTCGATAATTGTCCTAGTGATTTAGCCATTCAATTGCTTTTAGAGTTGGTTAATTGCTGATAAACTCACCCACTGCATTCAAATGCATAATTGTGGCAGTGCAAACTTATATGATAGCGATTTGGTGATGATAGTTTTTTTTCTACTTTACCATTAGGCATCTGTATCTTCCATGATTTGGAAAGTGTGGTTTAATTAAAGAAATATCCAGCACTGGTGTAAGATAACACTTGCCACTGATGTTAGCCATGGTTGAGAATTGAACTCAGGCCGCCGGGAATTCGTAGCACAGTGCAAGCACAAATGTGGTACTACGCCAACCTACTGAAAAGGTGATTGCATTGATTCACGTGTATATTTTTGTTTTATTCTCTTTGTGTTGGCCTTGCAAAGAAATTGGTGCCCTGAACTTTTGCTAACCACGTGTGGTTTCGATTTCAATGGTTCATTGACGACACAAGAAGGGGGTCACACAGTCAATGGTGTAGTGGTTAGCGCAGTGTTGCCGTGTAGTGACCTGGTGACCTGAGTTTGATTTCCGGTCATGGGTAACATCTGTGGCAGTGATATTTCAAACAGTCTGCCCCTCCCCCAACACCCATGCACCACCCTCAGCCACCACCCACCGACAACCTATCTGCGCTGTCAGCACGGGGAAGTAAGGTCAAACAACCCTCTACGACTGATGTGGAATGAGTAGGCCTTCCTGCAGAGCAGCAAATCACTGCACCTGAATGGGTTAAATGATGACGTCACCCTGCTGCGCTATTTAAGACCGGGAGCAAGTGGGGGGCTTCTTCACTATTCTGGCAAATTGCCCGATGATGCTGGATGTAATTACCAGCGAAACATCGTACTAAAAAATTGTAAATGTTGTGGATTCACTCTTCAACACACCGGTGGTCTAAAGTAGTGAACTATTTGTCTTTTGTCAACGTGACACTTTTTTTACTGATTGGCCGTGTCGGGCGGGTGGAGGGTTACGACACGTTTATAACTAACGCGATCTAACCCAAAAACGTTTATTATGAATAATATTGGTCGCGAAAGCCTACGTGTTAAACAGCAAATCATATTATAATCGAACAAACATTTTATGGCTGGATTCTTGCCTGGATTCCTTAGCTGTCGCTCGCCCAAGTGGGGCGCCGAAGTGGCGAGATGTTAACCGTCTCCCCCTGCTAATCAGGAGATTGTGGGTGCGATCCCAACCCTGATGCCTGTATGTTAGGAGTTTGCATGATCTCTCTCTCTCTCTCCCCGTGGTCGTGTGGTTTTTTTTCTCCGGATCCTACGGTTTTTCTCTCCACGTTTAAAATCAACATCACGCGTTTAGAGTATCTGGCTGCTCTAAATGTCCACGCGATGAGCCACTTCGTTGAGCTATCGTGTGTGGACAGGCCGCTTCTGAACAAGATAGCTGCATAGCTCAAAAGCGGGTCTTACCTGGTGAAATTAAAACCAAATACAGTAGTTTATAGGAGGGATGTAGATAGATAGAGGAGCGAGGAAGAGACGGAGAGGAACGGAGAGGAGAGGG